GATACAATACAATACATATATATATATATATATAGAGAGAGAGAGAAGAAATATTACCTCTTGTGTAATACGAACCATTTCACATGCTAAACAATTACGTGATCGAGTTGGATTGGAACAACGATGTAAATCAGCTAGTAGATAATCACGTAGAACTGGTGTATGTGTTAAAGCTTGTATAACAACATTTAAAAAGCATGTATTACCCATATTGATAAGACCACGCATAGCTGAAGATAGAAATAAAATAAAACAATAAAACAAACATTATTGGTTAGTTTATACATTGAAAATGATCATTGAATGGTGAGTGAATGAATGATCAATGTTATGTTTGTATAGTCAACAGTCAATCAATCAACAGCAATGTAGAACTTAGTACATGAGTCCAAAGTGGCCATATCACATTAGCACACAGAGATGTCATTGTCAGTTCGAATACCATAGCAGTAGGGGTGTGGTGCTGTGGTGCGAACTACTTATAAGTAGTATATAGCGTGAGTGTCAACGTAAAGTCTGGTAGCATAATATGGGGGGAAGATCAAGAAAGGAAGAGTTAGAAAACAATGGAATTTGTATGAAACGCATGAATAGTGACAATGGATTGATGTTTTGCAACAGGAACAGTCCAGTTCCATAGGATGAACTGATCTTTTGCAAATGAACGATTTACGATATGGTTTTCCGACTTTACTGAGTAACTCTGTAATTTTCGTTAAATACAATTCGGTTGCCCCCACCTGTGTTCTCATTCACTACAGGGGGAGTAGAAGTATCAGAAGTAATCGGAGAGATTAGGGTTCAAAGATATTATTCAAGAAGTAGAATCTAGTGAAATAAATTTAAAAATAGAAAGGTAAAAGTGATTAGGAATTCAGAAGGTTAGCGATTTGACAGAACACAAAGAATAAATGCACCGGCGCCATTGCAAACGGTTTTGAGCCATATCACGCAGGGTCTCCAGCCATCGATTATTATGATCTCGCGGACCCTCACCAGGTAGTCGACAACTACCAACATGGCTCATTTCACTTGTCAACAATGAATTCATGAATTGCTGCTATGTTTTAGTTTGGCCGCCCCTAGCTTTCTTCCAACTTATTCCTACACTACAAAATACAGGTTTAATCTAAAAGGCAGTCGAGCGACGTTAGGAGATACAGTCAGTCCCATAGTAGTCGATTCACCAACAGTAGATATACACACCATTCGTTTCCTCAGGATAATGGAACCAATGTACCCCATTGGTTTGAAATTAGGGTTTTCCAACTCGTCTAAATGGATCCTCTGTATCTACTAACACCGGTTAAGCACAATTCCGAGAGCAACAACAACAAAAATCGCCAAGAGAAGGCAGTGAATAAGACTGCCTTGACAGTGGCTATACACACAAGTGGCATTTCGAAAGCGGGCACCCTGTACCAGGGCACTTGGGACGGCGGGGGGGGAGTAAAGAACTAAGCAAGTAGAACTTGTTAATTACACCAGTAAGTACACAAATTTAGTCTGATAAAAATTGCAACTTCTGCATAAAACGCATTACAGACTGAAAAAAAGCACGCACGCACACACAGACACAGAGTAGACAAACCTCCAGAACGGCCATTCACAGTTAATGGTAATACTGGAGTGATATGAGGTATTAAACGTAATTCATTGAAAGATGGTCTCCAATATCGATTGGATAAACCTACATGGGGCAAAAAAAATCATCATAGCAGTGATAACAATATGTAAAACTTATTGAAATGATTGGTAAAAAAAGTACAACTTGACTGTAACAAAACTTTTAAAGTATATTTGAAAAGAAAATATCAGTCAGTCAATCAGTGAACAACAACATAGAACTGCGTATATCACTTCAAGTTGCCATACCACATTAGCATACAGATGCAATCGTCAATTCAAATTCCATAGTAGTAGAGGTAGTAAAAGTATTAACAGTAATCGGAGAGATTAAAGTTCGAAGATATTATTCAAGAAGTAGAATCTAGTGAAATAAGACAGAAGGATTTGATTTTGACCGATTTGGTTTTGCGTGCTATTACGGGTATGAGAGCGGTTGTCACTTCCCGGCTGCCCACACCGTGGAAGATTGTTTCTTGAGAGACCTGAAAAGGAAGGTAGATTAGTGTGGGACTTAGAGACCTGGGAGCGTGACAGCAGTACCCAACGGACAACTGCTTGAGGCCGGTCACGCACGGCCTTTTGATGAAAGGTTTTTTGAGTATTAGCTCCGCTCTTAAAGGCCCTTAGTGGGCACACCCTTACCCAAGGAGACGGAAATCCGTGAGGTAGGGTGAGGTGTGACATTTTTATGGTCGACATTTTCTAACCCTTCCTTCCTTGTGATAATTCAGCATCGCTGCAGATGCTGGTTATCCGAGGGAAACACCTTACTGCTGTCACACCCCTCTGCAGTCAGCAGTACGACTTCGCCCTCAGACCTTGAGTAGCTGCTTTTAGTCTCATCGTTCTCCAATCAACCTGTCTGGCATGGTAGAACCTATAGGAACATATGTTCCAGCCAGTATAGCTCGGTTGGGTCATGACGATAGACAGGTCCGACCACCACGTCAAGGTAGCAGCTACAGTCGGGCTAGTAAAATAAAGTTAAAAAAAGACAGAGGTGATGAGGAATTCAGAAAGTTAGAATTTCAGAGAACACAAAGAATGAATACACCTGCGCCATCGCAAACGGTTTTCAGTATTGCCATTCAAGGTATCTAACCATCAATTACCATCATCTCGCGATGTAGTGTTTCTAAACTACGATAGAGAACTTTAAAACTTGCTTAGTTGACAATGAATATACAAAAACATGATAAGATCATGTATATTTGACCCTATAGTTAGTGAACAGCTGGAAGGAGATAAATGTTATCTTAATTATATCAAATATTTTCATATTAAACGCACAAACTAGGGGATATTATCGATTTGTTCACGATGTTCGGCAGTTCTTCGCGCTGATTACCGTTACCTCCGACGAATTACTTACATTGAGCAGTAACGTCAATATGATGAATCTCTAAATCAAGAAGTGTGTATTTTTTAGGCGCGATAACTATAATGCAAACAATATCCCCATCTTGAAACACTTACTTTAACGGTTTGCACATGCTGTGGTGCGTGCTACTTATAAGTAGTATATGACGCTAGTGTAAACGTAATGTCTGGCAGCAGAAGATGGGGGAAGATCAAGAAAGGAAAAAGAGTGGGAATACAATGTAATTTGTATGAAACGCATGAATAGTGAGTGAAATGTCAGACAATGGATTGATGATGGATTGAAGATTTGCAAATTAACTGCTTACGATATGGTTTTCCTATTTTACTGAGTAACTCTGTAATTTTCGTTAAATACAATTCGGTTGCCCTCACCTGTGTTCTCCTTCACTACAATGCTACTAACTTTCACATTGCAGATTATGTGCCGCGAACGAGACTTAACGGATGGAAAAGGCATAATAGTGATCACTTTATAAAACGTCAATAAACAGCGAGATAAAATTATTTTAAAACATAGTATAGAGTAGTAGTAATAATAGAGATTTTAGCACCTATGTTTGAGAGGAAGACAACCTGTGAACACATCTATTATGCCATTGAGAGAGATTCTGAGTATTTATCATCCAAAAGTATCAAACGATGGGTTACGATAAACATGTAGACCGCAAACAAAGCCAACATATGCTGACGGATAATTCAGTCAGTCAGTCAGTTGCAAAGTAGAACTTCGTACGTATGTACATAAGTTCAGGTTGCCACACCACATTAGCACAGAGACGCAAATGTCAAATCAAATCACATAGTGATAAAGATAGTAGAGGTATTATTGGTAATGAAGAAGACTAGGGTTTGAAGATATTATTCAAGAAGTATAATTCAGTGAGTGAGATAAGGTTAGAAAGACAAAGGTAGATGTGCTGATGAATCCAGACAGAAGATTAGGATTTGAGAGAGCTCAAAGAATGGATGCACTTTCGCCATTGCAAACGATTTTGAGCCATGTCATTCAAGGTCTCTAACCATTGGTGACTATCTTCTCGCGGACTCCGACCAGATAGCCTACATCTACCAACATCACTCAGTCCACTTGTCAGTGACTTCATGGGTTTCTGCCATGTTTTGGTCTGGCCGCCCCTAACTTTCTTCCAACCTACTCCTATACGACAAAACACAGCTCGTCGAGGCAGTCGGTGGTTAGGCATTTGTAACACATGTCCCAACCACCTCAACTGATGACGTTTCACCACTTCATCTATTGATCTGCCATCCTTACCTAGTACTCGTTTCCTAACGATAGCATTGCTTACTCGGTGACGGATTATTAACAATTTCATAAGAACATTTAATAAAAGAATGAAACTTACCGAATTGAGCTAAATAAGTACGACATGCAGATTGATGAAAATTTTCAGCTACAGAATGATAAACAAAATCACCACAACCAGTACAAAATAATTCACCACGTTCTGTACAAACAGCTATATGAATGACAATTTTTTAAAAAAAAAGGGGAATCTAAGTGAATACGTTTTACATAAAATAAATAAGTGTAAAGAGAAAGATTCAGTCAGTCAGTCAGTCAGTCAGTCAGTTAGTCAGTTACAACGTAGAACTTTGTACGTACTTACATCAATTCAAGTTGCCATACCATATTAGCACACAAAGATCGGATTTTTAATTCAAATCCCATAGTAGTAGAGGTAGTCACTATGATAGGCAAGCCCTACCACCACGTCAAGGTAGCTAGCAGCTACGGTCAGGGTAGTAATTGGAGAGATTAGAGTTCGAAGATATGATTCGAGAAGTAGAATCTAGCGAAATAAACTTAAAAAGAAAAAAGCAAAGGTGATGAGGAATTCTGAAGGTTAGGATTTGACAGAACACAAAGAGTGGATGCACCTGAGCCACTGTAAACGGTTTTGAGCCGTCATTCAATGTCTCTAACCATCGGTTGTTATCGTCTCGCGGACCCCAACCAGGTAATCTACACTCATCAACATGGCTTAGTCCACTTATCAGTAACTTCATGGATTTGTGCCATGTTTTAGTTTGGCCACCTCTAGCAAAGAGAAAGATTGACAGAACAAAATCTTTTAATTACTTGACTAAGCTGAAGAATATGAAATACATTGAGAGTTAAACTTTAAATTAGTCAATACATTGGTCGTTTAGTTGACTTTTTTTGTCACATGTGAAATGTGATTCTGCCACATAGCGATATTATAAAGTCAATATTATCATAAAACAAATTTCATGTACTGCTGTGGTAACTACTCATCGCAGATGCATTCATTCATTGTGTTCTCTCAAATTCTAACTTTCTGAATTCCTCATCAACCACCCTATCTTTCTCTTTCTAAAGTTATCTCCTCACTGAATTATACTTCTTGAATCATATCGTCGAACCTTAATCTTCTACGATTACTGTTAATACTTCTACTATCTCTACTAATATATCGCACACTCAACAACAAATGCAAGAGAAGACGACCGTGTAGCAGCATCCTCTGCAGCAGTAGGTCTCAACATACATAAAGGAAAAAGCGAAATTCTCCGATGCAACACAACATGCACCAACCAAATCACGCTTGATGAAGATGCCTTGGAGGACATTAACAACTTTACATATCTGGGCAGCATCATCGACGAGAAAGGTGGATCGGATGCAGATGTGAGGGCGCGGATTGGCAAAGCAAGGGCTGCATTTCTACAGTTGAAATATATCTGGAACTCCAAACAACTTTCAACAAAAACCAAAATCAGGATTTTCAATACAATTGTCAAGACACTTCTACTTAATGGAGTGGAAACATGGAGAACTACCAAAGCCATCATCCAGAAGATAGAAGTGTTTATTAACAGTTGTCTACGCAAAATACTTCGGATTCGTTGGCCAGACACCATCAGCAATAACGAACTGTGGGAGAGAACAAACCAGATTCCAGTGAAGGAAGAAATCAGGAAGAAGCGGTGGAGTTGGTGGATAGGACACACATTGCGGAAAGCACCTAACTGCGTCACAAGACAAGCCCTCACTTGGAACCCTCAAGGCAAAAGGAAAAGAGGAAGGCCACAGAACACATAACGCCGAGAAATAGAGAAAGATATGAGAGGAATGAACAAACATTGAACAGAACTGGAGAGGGAAGCCCAGGACAGAGTTGGTTGGAGAAAACTGGTGAGCGGCCTATGCTCCATTGTGGGTAACAGGCGTAAGTAAGTAAGTAAGTAAGTAATCTCTACCAATATGGGAGGGTTTGAATTGACAGTTTCTTCTCTATATGCTGATGCGGAATGGCAACTTGAGGTGATGCAGTCATGTACGAAGTTCTACGTTGTAACTGACTAACTAACTACTTATTAGGATTAAATTTTCTTATAAAAAATACTATCCATATTGTTATATATACATAATAACACAATAAACTTACACAAAAAATGATCCGGATGATCTTCTCTATGCAAATATATATGACGATAATCCCAACATGCAAAATGTATACAATGAGCACATGCAAGTAAACATCTCGGCCGTATTAAATCTTTATCATAAGCATTTAATTCTTCTTCATCACGTGTTTTGCATAAAGTACAACATAGTTTAGCCTTGATTAATAAACAAGAAAAACGTGAAAATAATTTCTATAGTTCAAAAATTGAATAAATGATAACGATGTTAAAAGTTAAACTAACTACTATTTGATGTTGAATCGAAATGGTTGCGACTAGAATTGTTTAGAGCATGGATATAGAAGATTCTATTGGGTTTTGCCAACTTGTTTCACTTATGACGTAGGTGAGGTATCTGTTTGCTAACCATAGGACGAGTCTACTGTGCATTAGTTCGCTCCGTCCTACTATATAAGTGTAAAACATGGCCAGTTAGAGTAGCGGATATTCGTAGGTTACTAATATTCGATCATAAATGTCTCCGAAGCATTGCTCATATATCCTGGGACAATCGAGTAAGCAATCCTGATGTTAAGAAACAGGTACTGTACTAGGGAAGGACGGCAGATCAATTAGAAGTTTTAGGTGTATTTGAAGTATTGCTTGTGTATCCTGGGACAAGCGAGTAAGCAATGCTATCGTTAGTAAACGAGTTCTAGGTAAGGATGGAAAACCAATAGATGATGCATTGAAACTTCATCAGTTGAGGCGGTTGGGACATGTGTTACGTATGCCAATCGCCGACTGCCTCGACGAGCAATATTTTGTGGTGTAGGGGTGAGCTGGAAGAAAGCTAGGGGTGGTCAGACCAAAACGTGACACAAATCCATGAAGTTATTGACAACTGGATTGAGCCATGTTGGAAGTGTAAACTACTTGGTTAGGGTCCGCGAGATGATAATAACCGATGGTTAAAGACTTTGAATGACGTGGCTCAAAATCGTTTGCAATGGTACAGGTGCATCTATTCTTTATCTTCTCTCAAATCCTAATCTTCTAAATTCGTCATCATCTTACGCTTTTTAAATTTGTTTCACTGAATCAAGCTTCTTGACTGATATCTTTAAACCTTCATCTTCCCTATAACCGCTAATATCTCTACTAATATGGGATTTGAATTGACAATCTCGTCTTATCGCTAACATGGTTTCGCAACTTGAAGTGATGTACGTAGGTACGAAGTTCTACATCTTAGCTGACTGAGAATTGTTTAGATTTTATTCCAAGTATTATTTAGGAATCTTAGATACAGAATGAGAATATCGTTTGAAAACTACAGAATATAGCATACTTAGTAATGTTTGCAACTTTCAAATAAGCTTTTAAGGGAAATGTCACACGTCAAGAATTACTTGTTTGGACATCAAAGATTTATTTTTAGGAAAACATAATATACAACTAAGATTTTGCGTAAAAGGACTACATTCTAAAAATGAATTCCATTATGAGATTAGTCATAGATCTACAGTTTTTCGTGTATGTATATTTTAGTGAATTTCAATGAATTTACTTCTCTTCATGGGCATGAACTTACAAACTTACATCTTACAATAATTTCACAAACACAAGTTAAACAAGATAGATTACACAGGGGTTCTAGACATAGATGAATGGTAGTTTATGTATGATCTTATACTTAGAGAAAGCTATGAAAAAATTAAGTTTAGTTTGTTGATATCAGAAACCTAAAGATTATGCAACCTAGTAGCTTGAGAAGAATATACGAAAGTAGAGGCCGTACTTTAGCACTCTATTAGATTTTAAAAATAGTGAATCATAGTTAAAAGAAATCTTTCTTGTACATCATTTGACAGGATTATGTTTTTCAAATACTACAAATAGCTATATGCCGCGTTTCCTTCTACTTTCTCAAGCATCATCATTCCATTCTTTTAATGGCCTATCGCATACCATAATTAAAACGATCAAAAAAGAATAGGTAGGATAGTAGTGAGAACAGAATAACAGCTATATTTGTTGATTTTTATCTGCATTAACCTTTGGACACCTTTGAGCATCAAATTAACTTGCATTGAACAATTAAAAAGCAAATCAAGCTAGAAGTATTTATTTTCTACTTATCCCAATGAAGATTTTATAATCATACAATTAGCGAGACTGTAGATAAACTAAGTTTTTATTTGAAGAGATATTTACAATAATACAGTGTCAACACATTGCAAAACCAAAATAAAGGAAATGTACATTATTGTGAAAAATGTGATGTGGTATTCAACAGAACCAATAACAAAATAAATAATTGCAGGATACATTTGCAAAGTATCTAGCAAACAAGCTTACTCCCAAGTATTCAATAAAAATGCTAACCCACCCAATTTAGTAACAAAAGTCCAAATAGAAACAAATGAGATTATATTAAATTTAATAGCTTCCACTAATATAACCTGAACGTGATAAAGAAACATCATATAAATTATTAAGTCTCCATAGGTTAAAGTGGAATAAAATTTCCAAGTATGGTAGTCAAATGATAGTGGTTCGAACAGATACCATGTCATTTCTAGTTAATGCAATAATGGAGATACAGTAAACTAATTTAATGACCTGTAGTCTTTAAATTTTTCAAAAGTAAATCCACCTCTTAGTGGACATACCTTATGAGAAAATCCACGTTGGGAACTCGGGAAAGCAAGATAATTAATTATATTTTTGTATGCGATTTCATTTGTTTTTCGTGTGAAGAATTCATTCGCATGTTTGCAAGACATTTCGGGCATATCTGACTTTGATGACTGCATTTTGCCCTGGTTACTAACTAACGCATAATTACGTTTTGCTTATCAGTCTCATATCCATGAAATTATAAGGAGAATATGAGTAATTAGCCTAAGAGACTGAAAGCCCGGAATGTTTGTATTTCGCGCCCGCGAGTGTAAGCACCAATAGCGCCGAAAACAGTTTCATTGGCTGGTCCATTAAGGTTCAGAATCTTTGATACTCAATGTCTTATTGATTAGTTTGCTTGACCCAGCCTCTCCCTTCTCATCTGGCCTTCATATTAAGAAGCAGGTAGTGGTATCAATCTAGGTGCTTGACCCTAATTATCTCAGTGAATTCTATAAATAGTTGATAATATCCAAATCCAATATCTTCGTTACCAGCTTATATAAAGTGACTGGTCTATTTGTTCTTGCTTATTGCTGGTTTAGTACGGTTATATGTTTTTAGGGTGTCCAATAAGCAAAAGTCTGTCCATTCGATTTTTTTAGTTCCACAGATTAGTTGTTGTTTTTGAGTTTGTGTATCTTGTAATCTAAGTGAGCAAGCTTGTCTAAAGGTAGTAAGCTTTCTTGGTACAAGAATCTATAATACTGCCATGAAGTCCTTCAGAAGATCCAGTCAATCATTTCAGTTTTCAATGGACCTCCATATCTTGGCATCGTCAGAATATATGGTGGTCAGTAAGCTGATTATACATGATGCTAATGATAAAATTCAGGAGGTAGAGTGCAAATGGAATGATTCCCTGTGATAATCTAAATGTTCGAACCCTTGAACCTGTGTGTACTCCACTGCACTCTTAGTATGAAACATTAGGTTATCCAGGTAATCCCAGAACTATAATATCGTTAGCAGATTTCAGTTTAGAGCAGTAACGCAGCTTTTTCCCTGTGTAGCTACTCCCATCACCGTGAATATTCAGGCCATTCTGTGTCATCTTCCACGGTGTGGGCAGCCGGGAAGTGACAACTGCCCTCATACCCGTAACAGCACACGAGACCGAATTGGTCAAAATCAAATCCTTCCTACACCCCCTAATACCTCTCTTATCTCCACGACTAACTCTATTCACATTCATTCATCACAGTGCACAGCTAATGCAAACGATACGAGTTCGCGAAACGTCGTTCCCGGTCTCCTTAAACCCCGTTCTAAACTACATGTTGGAGCATTTAATGTACGTATATTATGTCAAATAGGGCAACAGGCTTCATTAGCTAGGACTTTAGAATCTCGTGCCGTCGATGTGTGCTGCGTCTCGGAAACTCGCACACAGGATCCGAGTAGCATCATTCACTTGACCTCACCATGTCAAGATACAGAAGTAACTCGGTTTACCCTTCGTGTACCCGGCAGCCCTGATGCTGCTTCTCGGGGTCTCGCTGGTGTAGGTACAGCTGTGAGTCCTAGGGCAGAACAATCCTTCCTTGAATGGATCCCTGTAGATAGTCGTTTGTGCGCCGTCCGACTAAACAGGACAGTAAGGATTCGAAAGCATAGGGACACTCGTCGTTGCCTCTTCGTCATATCAGCCTACGCCCCCACTGACTGCAGTCCAGACGATGTGAAAGATGAGTTTTACAGAAAGCTTTCGGACCTCCTCCAAAAAGTTAAGCGCTCTGATATAGTTATAATGGCTGGTGACTTCAATGCTCAAGTAGGTAGACTAAGTGAAAATGAAAGACACCTGGGTGGATGTTATGGTGTCGCGGCTCAGAGAACAGACAATGGTGACCGTCTGTTGCAACTGTGCTCAGATAACCAACTATTTCTAGCAAACACTAATTTTAAGCATAAGGAAAAACATCTTTTGACCTGGCGACCCCCGAAGTCGTCTCAACGTTGGACACAACTAGATCATATCGCCATCAGCCATCGATGGAGGGGTTCGATAGAGGACTGTGGCTCGTTCTGGGGCCTCGTCTAGATTCAGATCATGCTCTGGTGCGAGCTCGTGTTTGTTTGAGGCTTACTGGACGTTGGAAAGACACTGTAAAGAAGCCTCTTAGGGCTTTACTTGATGATAATCAGGCTAAGAAAATATTTCAAGAGGAACTAGAAAAACAGTTAGGCGACCATGGAAGTGATTCCCATCCGGAGTCAGGTTGGAATCATATCAAGGCTGTGGAAACAGCAGTGATATCTGCTAGCAAGGTAAACCATAAGGCCAGGATGAAGCAGTGGATTTCAGTCGCATCCACCGAACTGATGGAAGCTCGAAAACGCATCCCACCTGACTCTGAACATGATGAAGAGCGTAGTCAGCTTAGGTGCAGACTTATAAAGAGCCTACGTAACGACCGTGAACAGTGGTGGGTGGCGAAAGCGAAAGCGATGGAAAAGGCAGCGGCGATAGGCAACACTAGACAACTTTTCCGCCTTATTAAAGAAACCGGTATTAGGAACCCGAATGTGAGTGAGACTATCTCGGAAAAGTATGGTCTTATTATCAATTCTCAATCTAGAAGACTGGACCAATGGGCAGAGCACTTTAGGGATCAGTTCAACTGACCTCGAGCCACACTTCGGTTGACCACGATCCCCAGTCATCCTGAATGGCCAATCGACTTACGTCCTCCCAGTCTTCATGAAGTTGAAAAAGTGTGGTGTTTGAATGAACTAGTAACTTCTTGTTGTTGTGGAATGCTTGATTTCGAATTCTAAATACAATACATTCGTTTGCGCATATCTTAATTCTTGATTCACATACTTCTAATTACCACACTGGCGTCGCGATGGAACTTGTAATGGAACAGCTAGATATTCATTCTACTTCTGAAGCTTTTGAAGATTATTTGGAAAGGTTTGAAATCTGGAGTATGACCAGGAAAGATGTCAAAGATGATAAAGTTGTGGCTCATTTCCTAACATTCATCGGAAAAGAAGCGTACAGCTTATTAAAAACCTTGGCATATCCAGAGAAACCTATTTCACTTCCCTATGCAATGCTAAAGGAGTTATTATTGAATCATGTAAAGTGCCCTGGTTTTGAATGCCGTGAAAGAGCGAAATTTCATAAGATGATTCGTCAAAATGACCAAAATGTTAAGGAATTCATTCTTGAATTGCAGAAACAGGCTGTCAAATGTAATTTTGGTGATCAACTTCATGTGCAGCTGAGAGACCGATTAATTGCAGGAATTAACATACCTAGTTTGGAAAGAGAGCTGTTAAGAATGTCAAACTGTTCCTTTCAAGATGTTAGAACTGCGTGCATTAACTACGAGGCGTTGAATGAACTTGATATTCAGTCGATGAAGATTTCCAATACTTTGATTAGTTGTCATGATGAAAAACAATCTCAGGGTCAATCAAAATTGTGTTCGTTTAACAGAGGTTCCGATTCTCGTGTAGATATGAAAGGTGTCTCAAAAAAGAATTACAAAGGAAATCACAAAAGTGAGACCAAGTTTGGCAAATGTTTATCATGTGGAAAACTTCATTCTCGTTATTATTGTACATTTCGTAATGCTAAATGTTTTAGATGTAGTAAGATAGGACACATTCAAGCAGTATGCAAAGCTACTGTTCATTTTGCCTCAAGTAGTACTAAAGCTTGTAATTTAGATCCCAATAATTCAGCTGATCCTAATGATCATTTATCTTTAACTACCACTTCGAAATGTAATGCTCATATTCAAAAGCGACTATATACATCACTTGGTTCATTTCATGACTTTATTGTGGACACAGGCAGTATAGAGTCCATTATTTCATTCAAGAATTTGAAATCGTTAGATCCGAACGTTGTGATACGACCCACTGAAGTATCAATAATGGGGATTACTGGACACAGACTGCCTATACGAGGATGTTGTGAATTGCTAATAAGAGATGATAATTCCTCATACATACCATGTGAATTCTTAGTTAGCGAAACGGGACTGTCAATACTGGGTTTAAAGAATTTGAAAAGGCTTAAAGTGGAGTTGTCTCTCCTAGTTTCTAAAGAAAATTCTGATGCTTTACTTAAAGATTCGATAGCCACGTGTGCTAAGTGCAGTGGAGGTATGAAAACTGCTATTGATTCTATTGCCGCCTCAACATTTAATGAGCTGGAGAGGGGAGTAGATACCTTTCTACTGCAATATAGAAATGCCAGACATTCAGTGACGAAAGAGACTCCATCAAAACTATTAAAAGGAAGAATTCTTCGGTCGAATATGAGATGTTTGGAGTCTGCAGAAGTTACATATTATCGTGTCAATGAACTTCGACCATCCACGGGGATCGTTCAGAAGAATGTCGGGAAATCTATGGTGCGACTTCTAGATAGCAATGACTTAAGTACACACAATCGACATGTTGATCAAATACAATTCCAAGAGCCAGGTGAGTCTGTTCCAATTTCGGTTGTTAATTCTAATACTAATGAGAGCATTCTAGATAATACAGAGCCTTTATCCAATACACTGTCGGACAGACACAGGATGAATTCGAGAAGAAGACGTACAACTGATTACAGACATATACATTCCAATTTAAGCTGTGGCGGATATGGTGTTTGAATGAACTAGTAACTTCTTGTTGTTGTGGAATGCTTGATTTCGAATTCTAAATACAATACATTCGTTTGCGTATATCTTAATTCTTGATTCACATACTTCTAATTACCACAGAAAGCTATAGGAAACCCGAAGTGAAGCAGAGCAGTAGGTTCTGATAGGCTTACCCGTGAGATGTTTAAGGATGGTGGTCCAGATTTAACAGTTAGAATGACCGAGATCTTAGGTAGAATCTGGGAACTGGACGTAGTTTCTAAATTGTTAGCTTCCATTTTACTTAGACGTCTAACTAGAGCTCGTGAAGAGCAGACTCGAGAAAACCAGTCTGGTTTTCGACCTGGACGCGGTTGTATAGACCACATCTTCAAACTACGACAGGTCCTGTAATACAGACACACATTTAGGCGTCCTACAATAGTCGTGTTCCTGGACCTTAAGGCGGCATTTGACTCAGTGGATCGTGAGGTTCTGTGGCCGTGTATGTCATTGGAAGGTGCACCAAAGAAGTACATTAACTTTATACAAGCACTCTACTCGAACACCACTGGTCGGGTAAGAGCTTATGGCGAACTGTCATCTGAATTCTCTACATCAAGTAGTGTCCGTCAGGGATGCCCACTCTCTCCATTCTTGTCTAACTTTGTCGAAGACATCCTCTTAGAGTTACCTTTAAGACCGTCAGATTATTCAGGGGGTTGACCTTATAGCAGGAGAGTCACTTACTTATCTAGAATATGCCGATGACATAGTTCTATTCGGTGAAGACGCTGAAAAGTTGCAGAGTCTTCTGACTACCCCAAGCAACAATGCGAGCATGTTCGGGATGCGGTTCTCAACTTCGAAATGCAAAATGTTGCTTCAAGACTGGGTTGCATCGGCACCTGAACTAGTGATAGGGAGTGAAGTAGTCGAGCGTGTTGAACACTCCACTTATCTGGGGACTCTCATCAGCGCTGATAGGCTGGTGACTGACGAAATCTCAGCTCGGATACAGAAGGCTCGATTTGCTTTTGCCAACCTGCGTCACTTATGGTGTAGGCGTGATATACTTTCGCCAACCAAAGGACAGGTGTACTGCGCAGCAGTTTGCTTCGTTCTACTATATGGATGTGAATTATAGCCGTTAAGAGTAGATGTTCGTAGGTTACTAGTATTCCATCATAGATGTTTAAGAAGCATTGCTCGTATATCGTGGGAAAACTAAGTAAGCAATGCGGTCGTTAGGAAACGAGTACTAGGTAAGGATGGTAGATCAGTAGATGAAGTGGTGTAACTTCGTCAGTTGAGGTGGTTGGGACATGTGTTACAAATGCCTAACCACCGACTGCCTCGAAGAGCTATGTTTTGTGGTTTGGGAGTAGGTTGGAAGAATGCTAGGGGCGGCCAAACCAAAACATGGCAGAAATCCATGAAGTCACTGACTAGTGGACTGAGTCATGTTGGTAGATGTAGACTACCTGGTTGGGGTCCACGAGACGAAAATCACCAATGGTTAGAGACCTTGAATGACATGGCTCAAAATCGTTTGCAATGGCGCAGGTGCGTTCATTCTTTGTGCTCTCTCAAATCCTAATCTTCTGGATTCGTCAACACCTCTACCTTTGACTTTCACTGAATTATACTTCTTGAATAATATCTTCAAACCCACCTTGTCTTCTTCATTACCAATAATACCTCTATTATCTTTATCACTATGGGATTTGATTTGACATTTGCGTCTCTGCGCTAATGTGGTATGGCAACATGAACTTATGTACATACGTACGTAGTTCCACGTTGCAACTGACTGACCATTCTGTGTCATAGGTTGTCGACTGAGGTCAACTGACACTAGATTTTCAGTCGTGCTGCTTTTGTCTTACGTCTTTAGGACAGTTTTCATAACTTCCGACATTACTGTTGAAGTTGTTTTTGGTGGTATACCCTGTGCATAGGCCTTCGGCTAAGCTCGCTCGATTTAGGGAGCTGAACACTACCCGAATCGGAGATTAAGTCACTGAGAAATATGATGAACAGAGATGTAGGAATATACTATCCTCCGTGGTTATATGCACATTTAGGCTGAGGGATCACCAACGCCAGTGAGGCATTACTTGTGAATTAGTTTCAGCTAAGCTGACACACCTCAGCTCAATGACATTATATAATACCATTCCAGTGGGTTCTTCGAGACATTCTGATAGTTTCCCACAGCCTGTTTTACATAAAAAAGGTTGTCTTGCGTAAGTCTGATTTTCGATAACTGTTTAACCTTCTGATTCCGAAACATCGTAAGTATTCTCTGCCAGATTTAAATACAGAGCAGCTACGAAAACTTGCGCCATAGGTTTGAGTTCTAGAAATGTGATGTAATTCAGATAACTTTGCAAAAATGCGGCCTATTCAAACAACACAATATAATATGGAACGAAGAAATAAAGCAGCTGCCATAACCCAGACATCGAGAAAAGCGACAGAGATGTACTTCCTAGGAACCATGAAGTAGAAAAGTAAGAAAAGGAAAAACGAGGTGTTGACCGGTGTCTTCAGAAGATTCCTGATAGGTTCATCACTGGGACGATGATAAATACCCACTGATTACGAATTGTCCAGAAACATTGATTTGACGGTTGTTATTGCTCAGTGCTTGACAGTATAAAACTGAGTGAATGTTAACATTTATGAAGTTTTCCAATTGAGACCCCAGGCAACCAATCTATTTATGATCATGTTGCGTTCATGATTAAGACCATTACAAGAAAAAAGTCATCACGTTCTTCCAAGTTTAATGAATAAATATGCCACTATGAGACAGTTGGCTCACAGTGATAGTTTAGAATTTATTGATTGACGAGTTCAATGAAAAATATCTTCCCGTTGAGATGATTTCTAAAAAATATCCACGAGGCTCTCTAGTTATACTGACCATCACCTTAGCTAAATGTAGATATAGTATTAGCGCTTTTAATTGACTAATTCAAAAGACCGTCGACTGGTTGCCTTAAGACGGGTGGTAATGGGAGGAACTATGTAAGAAGCTTTACCACTATTAGTCATCATATTAACCATTATACTGTTAATTTGAACTACAAAATCTAGAAAGACCAATATGAACTGCCAATTAAAAATCTCAACTTTAGATCTAGAAGTCCCAATGAAATTTTTGATCATTTATCCAGTATTCCTTCATTCTTAACTTCAGGATTGTATACAAGCAGAAGATATTAAGCTTTCGGAAAAGCTTCCAAGAATCACAAAACAATCGATTCTCAGAACCATTAAGCTGCCGAACCAACAGACACTGGTCAAATTAAACTTACGTCCATTATCAGAAAGAAAGAGAAAACGTGACGAAGTCACAGTTTTTAAACTACTGATTTATAATTTTGCATCTGAAGTGCCCTCATTCTTCTTTCCTTCCAAAACAAAGGACTTATGTTGGACTCGGAAGACAACTTCTTAAGCCCGCAATAAATTTCTTGTTAGCTGACTAACCCTGTTTTCGATCAAATCATCAACAATAAGAAGTCGTTACCCTAACATGTGATTGGAACTCTATCCATCAACGCAATCAACAGAAGGCTCGATCAACTGCGGTATCGAAATTTCCCGTACTTTCCTGTACTTTCCAAAATGAAACTGAAGCTATTTTACTCCGTTTAACTGAAGATAAATTTGTGATCTAACTTAGTGTATTGGATACTAAAAAATTATAACTTTATTTATACCTGTCTTTTCTCATAACCAGGCCAAGGTGACTCGGGGGAAATAACGGGAGAGTTTACAAGCCAAGAATGACCAAAATACTTATGGCAAGAAGGTTTTTAAAAAGAGTAATCAACTGATGGGAGCGACTTCCAGAAGTATCGTACTCACCTTCAATTGGTACATTAAATAGAGAACCAGACATTTATAGATGCGTTTTGAAAAAACGATTGACACATATTGTTGGATTTCTGTCCTTAATGCACAGATCTAATGATCTAAATCTGAAACCTGAAATCCACAAATAACTGACAAGTTTTTTAGGGCCACTGAAATCGATTTGTTTGCCCAATGGTGTTTTCATATACTAAAAGTTTGAAAAATAAGTCTGAGATCTGGAGGTGAGGGCGCAGAAATAAAGTAGTTTACTTTAAATCATAATTAGGGTATTGAATTTCTAATGTATACTGACCTTGCTCCTTTTGGAGCTATCGACAAATTTACACGTTAATTAGTAGCATGGAAAACCAACCGACGAAACCAATTGCTGTGAAGAAAGTTACTGTTAAGGACTTATCTCAAATACCGTCTAACCATGGGTAATTGTATTCATAAATACTTTCCATAACATCAGTTTACTGGCTAATCTATTTGGCATTAAATTTTAGGCTTAGTTATATTAACATATTGCTATGTAATTGTCAAACTATTCAAAACACCGTTAACACAGTTGTTCCTGTTAACTAAGTGTAACTCCATCTTTTTCCTCTTGCCAAGAAATGTATGTCTAGTTGATAGAAACTAACGATACTTGTGTTGTCATCCCTAAATTATGCTAAAACGCAGCATCTAGTGATAAGATAATATAAGGTGTCTGTGTATGAAATGTATAATTTACCAATGCTTTTGTAAAGATAATCTTAGTATTCATGCTTTTGACTTCTAACCTCTGGATTAACTACTGTTATACGCAAAAATTTGCAGTGAGCAAGATCATCAGCAATGTGTTGCTCTAAAAAAATGCTGGTTTTTATTTTGTTAACTAACTGAGATGTCAACGATTTCCCGAGGATCAGCGTCATAGGTTCAAGTGTAATAATCACTCCTATCCGTCGACAAATTCACGTCAAATCATTATTCACATATTTCAGACATTTGAATGTTTCCAGTAGTCTCATTTTGGTTGATGGTTTTTTTTAACTAACTAATCTGAAGATAAATATTTAGTAACTGCTGCATAGCTCTAATGCTGTAACGTTGAACTCATCAGGGGCTTGATTCCATCCTGATGGATTAGTAATAGTCACAATGAGTACACAGTAATCAAGAAATCTTGATTCAATGACTCACTGGATTTCATCACCATTTTTTTTGCAAGTAGTCTCTCGGTTTAAGCAGTTTGACTGACATTTCGTGAGACAAGTAAGTTAATAAATAGGTAACGATTCCAATGGGTTATTGTAAGTATCATTTGGTGATAGGATGATCATGATCTGTCTCCTCGATCCACCCAATACAGAGATGAACTGTTCACGTATATATTACTTATTGTACTGTGCAAAAACAACACGTGCCACTTTTTCCGTCTGACCAATCTTTTTGAATACAACGAGTACCGGTTCTAATTATTACACTGTGCTGATGTAGTGTGAGACCTTGTATCGATACACGTATGCTAGGTTTTATATAACATATGAATGCCTGTAAATGAAACATTCATCCTCGAATTCTGACTTTGAGGATTACTTTTATCTACACTTTGTTCTGTAATACGATTCTTCTCAAACCACAGCTATTCTCCATCCCTGATCCTTCCTACTATTATCGATACTACTTCCTCTTAGGATTCATATCGTTGATATGATGTGATGCAATAACTTGAGCCAATGTACATTTGTACCAGGTGCCATATTGCTTACGTCTGACTAATTAGACATTTATATTAAGTTTGATTCCACCATTAAGTGCTTAGGCTTTTGCATGTGTTTACATAAATTGATTACGATGTTTGGTAAATAAATTCATTATGTAGATAAGAATATCATTCTCATTTAATGTATAAACAATTCAATTTATCTTTTTTTTAATGTTCCATTTTTATTCCATGCTATCTGTTTATTTTTCTGACTGTCGTATAGTACAACTCCAGGTGGGACTTTATTCAGTACTACTCCAGGTGGCACTCGTATAATATATGAACGGGATTATATTCTTAATTGTCGTAATTCACCGATTGCTCGAACTCCTCCTCCTGATATGACATATATACCAGAAATAACTTCTCCCACTTTAAATAAAGATAAACTTATTCATCCTTGTAATGGTCATACAGTGAAAGATTCTCCAGTAAATATGCCTGAATCAACATCTGACGATCATAACAAGCCCAGTAAAGGTAATATCTGTTGTTTTCTGATTATAATTTTAATCATTCTGAGTTTCGCATAACGTGGTTTAAAAAATATTGATTTTTTTGTGTATCACCAAAAACCATATTACAGGGTGCTTTTAAATCTATCATTGCATAATCGATTAATTCAGACCATCCATACTCATTGCTTCCACATGGCTAGGGCGTCGCTGTTCACGAAATTCAGAGGATGAAATGCGAATGTCTAGCTTAGGCTTGAACCAGGTTAGTGAGTACAATCAATCCACTTGAACGAGAGAGAGAAAACGCGAACTCTAGGATCGTTAAGGAACGAATGGCATGTAGACCTACTGTCGGAAACCGGATACCATGGGACTTGGCAACTGGTCTATCTTCGCTATGTGCAACCGAGTAATAGTCCATCCCACACAACCACTGGTTATCACTCATAAATGTTGGCTTAAAATCAAGTAACCAAAAATGTACTTGGCAGATGGGTTGCACTATGTAATAACCCGGTTTTAACTGTTGATAGACAGGTAAAAGTAACAAATTTCTCTCATAATTGGAATATAACACTGCTCTGAAATTGAAGAAATTGAAGCAAGTAGTGTTACTATAACCAAACATAATGTTGTAGAAACATTTCTAATAGCTATTCTAAGCCGATACATGTGTTCTGTCTCATATTTCACTCATAATTGTCCGAAGCGAATTATTTCCCTATATGCATCCTTTGATTGATTGACAGATAGAATAACTTATTTTCTGTGTCAGTCAGTTGCAACGTAGAACTTCGTACGTTCATGTTGCCATACCATATTTATACAGAGACGCAAATGTCAAATCAAATCCCATAGCGATAAAGATAGTGGAGATATTAATGTTAAGGAATAAGACTAGGGTGGTTTGAAGATATTATTCAAGAAGTATAATTCAGTGAGATGAGGTTAGCAAGAAAAAGGTAGAGGTGTTCACAAATCCAGAAAATTAGGATTTAAGAGAACACAACGAATGGATGCACTTACGCCATTGCAAACGATTTTTAGCCATTTCCTTCAAGGAATGTGTATGTACCATTAGTTTTCTAAATGAGGTTTCGTTAGTCATTCACTTTTTAAAGCTTTGAAGACTTTAACGACCAGTAAAACTCGCGACATGCTCAATCAGTCAGTCAGTCAGCTGCAACATAAAACTTGATACGAATGTACATCAGTTAAAGTTGCCATACCATATTAGCACACACTGATGGTGGTATAGGTAATAGCAGTATTAGTGGTCATCAAAAAGATTACGTATTGAAGATATGATTCGAAAAGTATATCCTAGTGAAATAAATTCAGAAGATTAAAATTTGTGAAAAGACAAAGAATTTGATAAACCTGTCCTAGTGCTAGCGATTTTGAGACACGCTCAATAAATTCACTCTTTAATCCAAACTTCCATTCAAACTGGTTCTGAAACACACTGAGAAAAAATCGAACGAGACTTTAGATAAATATTTTTTTAAAAGATCTTTCCGAGTTATATATTTAGACACAATTTCTGTCTCTTCAGTGTGACCTCAAAACTGATCTGTATTGAAGAGTGATCAACTTTTTTTCTATTGCACTACAACATAACATTAGAACTTTCTCGAAACGTCGTTAGACCGAGTTCATTATTTTAATTTTTAACATACCCACAGCATTCTAGCTAAAAAGATCATATAGAGTTGCTCTGAATTTTTAGGTTATGTTCGTTTTGACTAATAAAGTTTAGATATTTCGGTAGGGAAACATTTATCATTAATGACTTTTAATAATTAGTTGTACCACTGAACTTTGACACAATTATTCTGGTGATCAATTATTCACTGAAAGATTTAAAGGTTCAATTATTGTCAAAACTATAGATATACATTTACTGAAAAGTCTCAGATACAGAAAGCTCGATTAGCTTTTGCCAATTTATGGCGTAGGCGAGATATCCGTTCGCTAACCAAAGGACGAGTGTACTGCGCACCAGTTCGCTCTGTTCTCCTATATGGATGCAAAACATGGCTGTTAAGAGTAGATGTTCGTAGGTTACTAGTCATCTATCATAGATGCTCGTATATCGTGGGACAACCGAGTAAGCAATGCTGTCGTTAGGAAACGAGTACTAACTTGGTAAGGATGGCAGATCAATAGATGAAGTGGTGTAACTTCGTCAGTTGAGTTGGTTGGGACATGTGTTACGTATGCCTAACCACCGGCTGCCTCGACGAGCTATGTTTTGTGGTGTATGATTAGGTTGGAAGAAAGTTAGGGGCGGTCAAACCAAAACATGGCAGAAATCCATGAAGTTATTGACAAGTGGACTGAGTGATGTTGGTAGATGTAGGCTACGTGGTTGGGGTCCGCGAGACGAATGTCACCAATGGTTAGAGACCTTGAATGACATGGCTCAAAATCGTTTGCAATGGCGCAAATGCATCCATTCATTGTGCTCTCTCAAATCCTAATCTTCTGGATTTGTCAACACCTCTACCTTTGTCTTTTTAACCTTATCTCACTCATTGAATTATACTTCTTGAATAATATCTTCAAACTACCCTAGTCTTCTTTATTACCATTAATACTTCTACTATCTTTATCACTATGGGATTTGATTTGACATTTGCGTCTCTGTGTGGCAATGTGGTATGGCAACATGAACTTATGTACGTACGTACGTAGTTCTACGTTGCAACTAACTGATTGACTGAGTTGAGGCACAAGTTGATCATCATTTTCCTTGTCCTTTGTCTATGACTCATACTGTGTTGTAGTACAATCAGATTATTATTATTGCTGTTGTTTTTTATTGTTTCAGGTGATGAAGCGCCATTTGAAATGGATATTTAAATCACCAAAAAAACCCAAATAATAAACTTATTATTCTCAATAAGAATGATATCAATCTTGTTACTGTGTATTTCTGTTCATAACACATTTGTAATACAGATATTCTCTATTCTTCTTTTTCCCCCCGTATATGCCGCACTATTATTATTACTATTATTATCATTGTACCGGTTTAAATCAACCTGAAGACAAATATATAAATATATACATATTTCTGTATCTGCTCTGTCTTGTATTACGTCTCCTTCATATAATCGGGATTTGAACAGATTCTTCAAGAATCTGTTTCTTTCTAATATGATGATGTACCGAAGAAGTATATTAACCTTATACAAGCTCTCTACTCGAACACCATTGGTCGAGTGACAGAGCATATGGCGAATTGTCACCGGAATTCTTTACTTCAAGTGGTGTCCATCAGGGATGTCCACTTTCTCCATTCTTGTTTAATTTTATCATAGACATGCTGCTAGATATAACCTTATCCTCGTCTGAATTTTCAGGAGTAGACCTTTTACTAGGTGGCTCGCTTATTGACTTAGAATATGCCGATGACATAGTCCTACTTGGTGAAGACGCTGACAAAATGCAGAGTCTTCTGACTACCCTAAGCAACAATGCACACATGTTCGGGATGCGGTTCTCAACCTTGAAATGCAAAATGTTGCTTCAAGACTGGCTTGCATCGGCACCTGAACTAGTGATAGGGAGTGAAGTGGTTGAACGTGTAGACCGCTTCACTTATCTTGGGAGTCTCATCAGTGCTGATGGCCTGGTGACTGACGAAATCTCAGCTCGGATACAGAAGGCTTGATTGGCTTTTGCCAATCTGCCTCACTTACGCCGTAGGCGTGATATCCGTTTGCTGACTAAAGGATGAGTGTACTGTGCAGTAGTTCGCTCCGTCTTACTTTGTGGCTATGAAACATGGCCAGTCAGAGTAGAAGATACTCGTAGGTTGCTTGTCTTCGATCATAGATGTCTCCGAAGCATTGCTCGTATATCCTGGGACAACCAAGTGAGCAACTCTGTTATGAGGAAACGGGTGCTAGGTAAGGATGGCAGATCAATAGATGAAGTAATGAAACTGCATCAGTTGAGGTGTTTGGCACATGTGTTGCGTAAGCCTAACCACTGACTGCCTCGTCGAGCTATATTTTGCGACGTAGCAATAGGTTGGAAGATATTTAGGTGCAGCCAGATTAAATCATGGCAGAAACCCATGAAGTCATTGACAAGTGGACTAAGTCATGTCGGTAGGTGTCGACTACCTGGTTGGGGTCCGCGAGATGATAGTAATCGATGGTTAGAGACATTGAATAATATGTCTCAGAATCGCTTGCAGTGGCTTAGGTGCATCCATTCTTTGTGTTCACCCAAATTCTAATTTTCTGAATTCCTCATCACCTCTTTCTCTTTCTGAATTATACTTCTTGAATAATATCTTCGAACCCTAATCTCTCCGATTACTGCTATTACTTCTACTACTATGAGATTTGAACTGACAGTTGTGTCTCTGTGCTGACGTGGTATGACAACTTGAAGTGATATACGTACGTACAAAGTTCTGCATTGTTACTGACTGACATTACACTAAACTGACACCGCCTGCTCTTCTTCCGGTCACCGTCTTGTTTTGGCTGCCCCGCACTGTCGTTCATTCTGTGGCACGTTTCGGTATTTCTTCGATACCACCAAATCGTCAACGAATATACCTAGTTCGTCTGGTCAATCCTGTCTTCTTTGTTCCTGTAAAAAGATCTAGGATAACGTTGGAAGGTCGAATTTGATTCGTATTTAGACATTCATAGTCCCGTTACTCGAACCTGTATATTTGGTGAGGTTTACGTGATCCGAACACTCGAACATCGATAGGACCAAATGAAGAGGATGTCCGGTTTGTAGTTAAGTAGTACATTTCACTCTGTGTTCAGTTTTTCCCCTAGCTATCTTATTGGTGATAAAATGAATCTGACGTAACTCTGTTTCTGCTTAATTGTCAGTTAAACGTAACATAAAATCTGTCACATATGTACATCGGGTTCAAGTTATCGTGTTCCATTGGTACGGCTAGATAAAATTGTCGAGCAGCACAAGTAGTAACCAGTATCAATGGTAATATTACCGATTAGACATTGAAAGTTAGAATTTGTGAAGGATAGCTGTTTTGAAATCATACTGATTACGTAGTGGATAGTGATATCATCCAGTCGAAATTTGGACTTTGCTTTAACCCTACCTTAGTGTATCTTACTGTGTAATACTATCAGATCTTCTATTTATAGTGTGACCAACACAGGCCAGTCCTGCACAGCTTTCTTTCATAACGTGACATTAACCACACCTCCGGTCTTTCCAGCCAGTCCTAGTGTTGGCTAATAATAGACTATATGGAATTTGATTGGACGACCTTGGTAGTAAGTAACCTAAGACAACACAAGTATTATATTTCATGATAACCTTTGAATTACATACCATGGAACACTCCATTATTGTCACAAACAAAAGACCTAGCTCATCATAACTATGACGACGTAAAAATCAATCTTCAGTTTAAGTACTTTTCGCGTTTGAGTTTTGTAACTGGTTGAGTACGATATTGATAAGATTATCAGTTTACATCATTTGAAATTATCCAAAAGAACTGAACCTAGATTGTTATTAATAAATATTTGGTTAGCTGTTAATAACTAAATATCACTCAGACATGATGGTACACACGCTTACGTTATCCGTAATCTGATCACAGCCTCAATAGATAGTTGTCTTGATATCCATTATAGACTTAAGGAGAGAGTTGTTTGAAATCGTAAATCAATCATTATTAGACCGTTAGAAACCTAAAAGCACTAGACTGACGTTTCATCCCAGTATGGAACTCTTCAACAATGTGCATCCACGGCTCAGTGGGTTTGCAATGGTGCGGATGCATCCATACTTTGTGCTCTCTCTCAAATTCTAACCTTCTGGATTCCTCATCACCTTTATCTTTCTCGTTTTAAATTTATTTCACTAGATTATACTTCTTGAATGATATCGTCGAAATCCTAATCTCTTCGATTACTGCTAATACTTCCACTAATATGGGATTTGAATCGACGATTCAATCTTTGTGTGCTAATGTAGTATGGCAACTTGAACTATGCTGTAAGTACATACCAAATTTTACGTTATTTCTAACTGATCGATATAACTAATCGATAAAAACCAGACGAAAATCTGAAATTGTTTTCTATGCTCGCTTACTTGTTGCATATTATTCAACAACTGTATCGCCTTTGTCATGAATGAAACTGAAATTTTATGTTTTGTGTAGTTGTGATTTCTCAACAGAGTATGAAAATATTGTAAAATAATGAATGATACGTTGTGTATTACTTTAAAAATGAGAATGATAACTTCATGTTCTACAAAACGTTTTTTTTTTTAAAATTCAAACTCCCTTCTACTCACTTTAGTTTAGATTGATAACTGATATCGTTGGCTCTTATGTGACAAGTATAACTTGAAATACAAAATGCCAAGAGTACCGCCTACCTGTGTTTCACTACTGCGTAACAATAACTGTTCATAGATGATAGTACGACGAAAGAGCGATACAAACATCAAGTTACTGATATTTCACTTATGGTGGATCGCAATCAATGCCAGTTATTAAAACGGTGTGAATTTTCATCCTTTTCGAAGCAAGCGTCTATCTAATCACGAAATTTTAACTGAGTGTGAAAATAAATAGCTAGGAATTTAAATCGAATAGAGGTTGTCAAATTAGTCGATTCATTTCGTAAACTTACGTAAGGGTGGCAGATCAACAGATGAAGTTTTGAAACTTTTTCAGTTGAGGTGGTTGGGACTCTGTCTCGTCGAGCTATGCTTTGCGATGTAGTAATAGGTTGTAAGAAAGCTAGGGGCGGCCAAACCAAAACATGGCATAAATCTATGAAATCACTGACAAGTGGACTGAGTCATGCTGATGAGTGTAGGCTACCCGGTTGTGGTCCTTAAGATGATCGTGAGATCTTGAATGACATGGCTCAAAATCGTTTGCAATGGTGCGGATGCATCGATTCTTTGTGTTCTCTCAAATTCTAACCTACTGAATTCCTCATTACCTTTATCTTTCTCTTGCTAACGTTATCTCCTCACTGAATTATACTTCTCGAATCATATATTCGAACCCTGATCTCTTCGATTACTGGACAGCAATCGGGAATCGAATCCAGGACCTTCGGTGTCGCACATAAACGCATAACTTGTTAATCACTGAATCGGCATTCAGTGGTGTGACTGTCCAACTGCAATCGACGCATGATATCGGGCGGCCATCATCTACTGTCTCCACCATTCTACACTGATTATTCAAACATGTACTAGGGAATAATAATCTTTATAGTTTTATTTTCTCAGTTACCAAATGTATTACGTTTCATCTAAGTATAAATATAATTATAAAATAGCTGTTGAGAAATTACTTACTAAAGCCTGTTACCCAGAATGGAGGAAAGGCCACCAAGCAGTATTTGCTAACCAACTCCATCCTCCGCTCTACTTTCCAATTCTACCCGATTGCTGTTCATTACTTTCATATCTGTTTCCAACTCTGGGTGCAGTGTGTAATTTAGTCTACCAAGTTAAGGTTTGCCTCATGATACTGTTGGGTGATTTCCGCAATATGTGTCCTAACTACTTTGCCCTAACTAGAATGTGGTTTGTTCTCTACCACAGTAGGTTGTTACTGATGGTGTCTGACCAATGAATCCTCAGAATCTTGTGTAGATAATTGTTAATAACTCCATAGAGAGAAATTCTAGATTTACTGTCGATCCCAAGACTGGATAAAAAAGGAGTAATGGGTATGAGATTAGCCACGCCATCTGATATAAAAACCAACATGCTGAAAAACACTCCAACCAGGACAATTGTTACAAAGTTGGCACGTCTTTATGACGCTTCATGGCGAAATCAGAGTTTCTTCGGAAATCACGAGGCCGATGCGGCTTTCGACAACCAGAGCAACAATTAATATATAGGTACATGGAATATTCTCACAATGGCGAAGATTGGAAGAGTTATTCAAGTTACTGAAGGAATGAAAATCAAACTATATACAACTTGTTCTCAATGATCATTGTCTTATTCTGTTTAGATAGAATTATGTACAAAAATTGTCAGGTTATTTAATTTAGAATAAGTTATCGATAACTCCGTCAGTAGAACC